TGACGGTCGAGGAGACATTCAAGGAGATGAACAAGCACCCGCTCTTCATGACCTCTCTCCCGGCCGACGAAGACAACGAGGAGCTCGCGGCGCTGCAGGCGCTGGCGTACGAGGGCACCCCGCTCGAGAACGCGCAGAACTTCAAGGAGCAAGGAAACGAGTGCTTCAAGGCCAAGCAGTGGAAGGACGCCAAGGAGTTTTACGGTAAGGGCATCGCGGTCTTGGTCAAGGCCGACAGGGAGAGGCGGGATCCGGCGTTCAAGGCGAAGGTCGAGGAGGAGGAGCGGAAGAAGGAAGAGGAGAAGCGCAAGGCGGCGGCCGGGGGTGATGCCAAGGCGAAGATGGAGGCGGATCTGGAGAATGTCCAGGCTGAGATGCCTATACCTCACAAGCCTGCTGAAGAGGAGGAGAAGAAGGAAGACGAGCTAAGTGAAGAAGAGACCATCAAGCAGGAAGCTTCCCTGCTCGAAACCCTCTACTGCAACCGCGCCGCCTGCCACCTCTCGCTCGCCAACTACCGCTCCTGCACGCTCGACTGCGCCGCCGCGCTCCGCCTCAACCCGTCCAACCTCAAGGCGCTGTACCGCTCCGGCCGCGCTCTGCTGTCCGTTTCCAAGATCGCCGAGGCCGACGACGCGTGTGCGCGCGGTCTCGAGATCGATCCCAACAACGCCGCCCTCAAAACCTTGGCCCGCGACCTGATCGCCAAGAACGAGGAAATCACCCGTAAGCAGCGAGCGGAGGAGGCGCGCCTGGAAAAAGAGCGGCGCAAGAAGACGCTCAAAAAGGCCGCGCTCGAGGCCCGCGGTATCAAGACCCGCGCGACCAACGACCCGCCCTCGATGGAGGATGCCTGCATCCAGCTTGTTCCCGACCCGCTCGACCCTCAGTCGGAGCTGTCCTTCCCGGTTATGTTGCTGTACCCGCTGAAGCTGGAGAGCGATTTCATCAAGGAGTTTAGGGAGACGGAAAGCGTGGGGCAGCACTTGGAGTATATCCTGCCGGATATGCCATGGGATGAGGACGAAGAATACAACAGGCCGGATAAGGTGGAGTGTTATATGGAGAGCGTGACGGGCGGGTTGATCAAGGTGCCGCAGAAGGCGAGCCTGTTGAGGGTGTTGAGTAGTGGGAAGACAGAGGTGGTGGATGAGTTGGTTAGAGTGTTTGTGGTGCCCAAGGGTGCGAAGGCGGAGGGCTGGATCAAGGAGTGGAAGGAGAAGAAGGCGGGGGAGAAGAAGTGAGTGGGACTAGTATACGAAAAAAGTTAAGGGTGGGAAGACCAGAAGGGACGAAGAGGAGTTATGATACCCAGGGTAGGCCGAGTGGAAGGATGCATCCGTAAGTGGTCGTCGGTGTTGTTACAATGCCACTCACATGATAGAGTCACGGCATGATATTGACCATCATATAAAACTTTGTGCATTCTGATCTCTTTTCATTATCTGCCACAATTTCTCTCGAGAAATCAGTCAGAAAGAGCCTTCGCCAGCCCTTCTTTGCACTTCCTCCATCCAGTTGTAACAAGCACTCCGCTCTCTTTTCCAATCCGTCGACCCCTCCCTCTTATCCTGCCGTATTCAGTTGCTGTTGGTGGCTCTGCTACGCAGCAGGGACGGATGTTCTTGGTTCAGAACGGGAAGTGGCTACCTTTTATCGAAGTTAGGCCACATGAAACGGGTCCTCGCGCCTGCAGTATGCTTATATTCGCGGGTCTTCACTGCTTCATAGCGTAGAGAACAACATCTGCGTAGTGTCATCATCACTTCCCTCGTATAGCTCGGTTAACCAGATATTTGTGACTCATTCGCATTTCACTTTTTTCGTAAATCGCTGCATTAACATCATGTTCGACTTTCAACTTCTACCCTGTCATCATTCATCCGTATTTTCTTCCATTCACATTCCCAACCCTCGTTGTCCAACGGCCATCCATCCATCCATTCACCCATCCCATCCCACACTTAGGTATAAAGCTTATTCGTCAAGTTATTAAACGACAACCCCTCCTTCGCCAGATCATCCACATCAATCAAGAAGTCCAACGGCATCTCCACGAGCGTTCCACGGACTCTACCCAGCCACTCCTTAACCTCCTCCACGCCTCCAGGGAACTCGTCCTTGACCACGTGTCCGTAGTCCACCTTACCATTCTTGTACCCTTCCTCGGCCAGCTTAGCCTCCGTTCCGGGAAGCACGAACTTCTCGCTAAAGAACTTGTCATAGTCATCCCATGTGCGCACCGTGTCGTCGGGGACGGCGTGGAACACCTTGCGGAAAATCTTGGTGTTGGCTTTGGCGGTCTTGTACCAGAGCGCAAGGAAGTCGTCGGAGAGGGGGTCTTCCACGAGCTGATCGGCGTGCGAGCCCCAGTCGTATTCGTTGACGGAGTGCTGGTTGACGGGGGTCCAGTTGTTGTTGGCGGCGTCCCAGCGCTGATCAGGGATGAGGCCGAGGTGCTTGCGGAAGAGGTAGCGACGCAGGGAAGCGGCGAAGGCGGAAGCGCGGTAAGGTGACCCGTTCATGAAGGAGTCGACACGGTTCTTGTCCTGGATGATGACGGCGATCTCGGAGTCGTGGTCACCCATCTGCGAGCGGTCGTTAAGGTTGGCGGAACCGCAGATGACGACGCGGTCGTCGGCGATGAGAACCTTGGAGTGGATGTAAAGCTCTTCGCAGACGAAGGCGTCGATCTCAGATTCGGGAGAGCCATTCCACGGAACGCTGTGCAAATCGGGCCCGTTCAGCATGTAGCAGGAGGAGATGGTGTCCCAGGTGTTGTCGGTGATCTTGCTGGCGGCTTCCTGGTAGCGCTCGTATTGGCTGTGTTGGCGTCCTCCCTGGCTTCCTTCGTAGCGGCTGTCGGGTCTGCTGCCCGGACGGTAGTTCTCGTCGCAGTGCCCACCTCCGTAGCCGCTGTGTCTGCGTCCGTACTCGTCGTCACCACGACCACCGTCGTACCGATCACCGTATTCACGCTCGGGTCTGTGGTCATCATAGCCCCGTTCGTATCCACCTCTGCCGCCCTCATAGCCCCGTTCACCACCATAGCCCCGTTCACCACCGTAGCCCCGCTCACCACCGTAGCCCCGCTCACCACCGTAGCCCCGCTCACCACCGTAACCCCTTTCGCCCTCGTATCCGCCTCTGTTTCTCTCATATGGATCGCGGCTGCTCTCATATTGGTTCCGATCGTCGTCAATAGAGCGCTCGAACTTGTCGTCGTAATCCTTACGGGCGCCTTCGTAGCTGACTCCAGCATCCTTAGCAGCCTGAGCCATAGCCTCACTCGTGTTAATACGGTCGTAGTTGCGCAAGTTGTAGAATCGGATGTAATCCGCTGGGTTCTCAATACCCTCCCTCAGCAGACACTCGATAATGCTGTTACCACCTCTGTTGATGCTGAAGTACTGGAATTCCATGATAGCACGAGTGCCGAGAGCGCCATCAGACTTGAGGTCGCCAGCGAAAGCAGGAACGGCAGGCATCATGACGAAGATGACGAACTTCTCGCCGGCGCGATGGGCTCGGATGATACGGTCGACGATGGCCTTGCCGATCATGTTTTCAACCGGCTTATGAGCGGAGGACGTAGCGGTGATGAAGAACTGAAACGAGTTAGTAGCCATAGGGGAGCGAAGAAGGAAACCATCTGACGTACCTGGTTCTCAATGTAGATGAAGTGCTTGGCGTTGTTGATGATCTCAATGTAGGCATTCGCAATGGACTTTTCCGTGTCATGACCACCCGACCATTGAGAGCAACTATTCTTGTTAGCTTCTACAGGACACGAAGAGGGAGAAGCGATTCAACTTACCTTCGGACAACTTGAACCTTCATTCTACGTCTAGGACGCTCGCTCGAGCGTCTGTGATCGTCATGGTGGTCCTCGTCGTCGGTGTCTCCCAAGAAACGGCGAGCATGCTGGCGCAGATGGAAAGGGGTTTCGAATTCACCAAAATCAGGATAGGGAGGTTGGTCTCCATATCCACGATCACGGCTCTCTCCGTATCCGCGATCGCGGCTTTGCTCTTGCTGGGGAGCGTTCGCACTGATAAGGGCGTACTTTCCGGGGTCCTTCTCCTTGTACTTTTCGTTCCAGATGAAGGCCCAGCGGTCAATGAAGTGATCAACTAGGTTGTCCACGATATGGCCTTGCAGACTGATGCTAATATCAGACCAGCCCATTCTAGAGTTCTTGGTGCGGTCGAGCTTGTTTTGCTCCCAGTTGCTGACATCCTCGAAGTCGTAAACACGAGCATTGTTGTAATCCTGACCGGGGAAAATGATGTCGTTGAGGTTGCTGGGATGAGCATCGGCGATTGGGTGACTGTTCGTGTCCCATCTTCCGAAGCCTGTTCGATTGTTAGGCTACTTCATTGGCAAATAGTGACTAGAAAGACTTACACATATCCAAGCCTCCCATGAATGCGAGCTTCCTGTCAACAACGCACAGCTTCTCGTGATGGGCCCAGAACAGGGTAACGTCATCCTTGGTTCCGTACAATGCGGTCAGGGTATTCTGCGGGAGCTTAGCCAAGCTGAATGTGCCCATCTGCACCTTGGACCGGAGATCGGCAAGGACATCTCTGCCTCTTGGAATGTGATCAGGATGTCTAAAGACCTGGATGTTCTTGTGCAGACCTTCCAAAGCTTTCCTCGTGTGCTAAAAGAACCGCATGGTCAGTTTTAGTCATGGTTTCCAGCGGATACAGCATCCATACCCGAGAATTGACTATAGTGATGTTTGTTAGCTGTGGAAACGCACTATAAACCGACTGATTGAGGACTTACGAGTCAAAGCCTGCTCAACCTCCTTGTACACGATGATGTGGACCTTTACACCGCGCTCTGCAGCGTTGCGCAGCATCCGGTCAAGCCGGTACTGCTCATTCTTTGCAGGGGGGCGGCGCAGATACAACTCGGGACTGTCCAATTAGTTAGTCAATCGTCCGACCAGCAAAGGAGCCAGAAAGACATACCTCAACCACCAATCAAGGATGTAGATGCTCTCCTTGGCCTCTGTGACAGTGATTAGCTGATGGACCGACCAACATGGCAAGACGGCTGTGGCTTACGCTCGAGGGCGATGGAGACGGCCCAGAAGTAGGAGGCTCCATCGACGTACCACTTCACATCGCCTGAGGATTCAGGTGCGAAGGATCCGAAGCGGTTGGCGCCATACTGGTGAGGGTAGGAGGTTTCGGGGACTTCATCGTCTCCGGCTTCCGGATATTGGTAGTTGGCGGCAGTGTTGTCGTTATCACCCTGATTGAGCAGTCCTCCTACACCTGCCGTAACCTCCTCAAGCTTCTGCTTGAGCTTATCACGCAGGAAGCCCATGGTGGAGATATCGTTGAGCCGGTGTGTGAGTGATGGTGATGGGTGATTTGGATGGTCGGAGGTTGAAAAATGGCGGTAAGTGCGGGGCGCACTCTGGCAAATCTCGCTGCTGTCGTACCTATCTAGATAGAGGCGCCTGGCTTCTAGCAGGCGGCCGTTTGTGTGAGACGTTGTCGTACAAGACGAATTATCGAGTGGTGGCAGAAGACTGAAGAGGGGTCCGTCACATTCACTGGCGAAAGAGCTGAATCAGTGACAGAGCCGCAGAGTGGACACTAAAGTGTGCTCAGTCAGCTGCGTGTGTCAGGGAGCTTAAGATGAAACGGAGACTGAAGAGATGAATCCGGGCGCGATGTGGTATGACACAATAGCTTTTAAATGTTTGTTAATGGCCAGCCACCCAACAAGCGTGCCTGGCCCAGTCCCCGCTCGTTGGTGGGCACGCTGGCCGCCGCTCTATGAGACCAATTAGAAGCTGAAGCGAAGCAGTGTTTACGACGACGGGCTTACGTACAGAGGTCCTCAGTGACACTGTTTCCAGCCAGCCAAGAGGCAAGCGAACCGAGGGATCCCATGAGGCCAACCGATTCAGGGCCGTCAAAGTTGCTGAGTTCAGCTGCCCTGTGTCAGAGTGGACCACAGGCATTGGTAGGGCTGATGGGATGGAGTTTAGGCCCATCATCCCATCTTTCTGAAAGGGGAAGACTGCATCGCGATCGCTGTCCTCGTCTCCTCATTGGTTGTTCTGATGTTGGCACGATGTCACCGAACAAAGTCCCTGACGGCCCGTGGTGATGACGATGAGGTGCATCGCGGTGATAATTCTTTTCAACATCCGGTGTTGTATAAGAGGCATTTCTAGATTCGTTTCTGGGGCGACCTCTTCAAGGGCAGTCCCGGCTTCCGAACGTTGTACGTCCACAATGGGTGGCAGTGTCGATCAGGGTATTCGTTGCTCAAGGTGGAGGGCTTCCATCCACCCCGCCTTGCAAAAGAAGCTCTGCCGTCTGCCGAGGTCGACGCACTGTCCCGGGGCCAAAAACGTGGCCACCCTGGAGCCTCCCGGATGAGGAGACGTAAAGGCCATAAATATCGACAAATCTGGTATTATCATGCTTTTCGCGAAGCCAAAGTATATGGATCGCGAAATATGAGTTGTGCTGCATGGAAGCGCTGAAGACGAAGGGGTCATGAGAGCAAAGCAAATGAATAGCACAGTTCGGACGAAAGCAAGCGTATGAGCTGAAGAGATGGGTATAATCGTGAATGAGTTTCACAATCAAAATGAGGATGGGGCTTGGAAATCTTTTCTGCTGATGGCTTGGAGTTCACAGAACATCTGAGTGGAAGGATCGATTGAAGATGGAGGAAAGTGCCGTTGGTGAGTGGGATATTTCCCCCTGGAATTTGACGAGAAGAACGGACCCCCGCACTAACAAAGCGTGCTGTGGCGTAGGTGACTGCCCCTTGAAGCTCAACTTTTACAGGGGGTCTTTAGCTGGAATCCGTGGGGAAGCCCCGCCGTTTTGTTCTTCCCACTCCCGTTCACAACGTGATGAAACTTCCACTTGGAAATTGTGGCAGCTGTCCCTGACTTCTGTGCAAATGGTGTATTTCTTTCAGACCATACTAACCGGCGGGACATTCTCTCTCTTCAATTCATCTCGCGGACAATCATCCGATCACTTCAGCCAATTTCATGCTTTGCCTTCTTCCTTTCCACAGGACACTAAAGTGGTGGAATTTCTAGAATATCAAAGGCACAATTCAGCCTTCAAACGCGTGAGAAGCAAGTGTAACGTAACGTAAGCAAATTCCCACTCTCCACTGCCCTGCCCGTGAACGCGTGCCTGGCCATTGCTGCCACTACCGCTGTGGCGGAAAAATGATTACCTGCAGTCCTTTGCAGCTGATTATAGGCGCAGGTACAGTACAATCTGTTTCACTAGAGGTATCATCGCTTTCGAAATTTCCATGTCCCGTTTCTGCCTTGAAATCGGGACAGAAAAACATCAGGTACAAAACATTCGTTAACGGTGAGCAAAGGCCTTTGACCTTTCAAAAGCTTTAGGCTCTGTCATTCACGCCGCGTCTCAAAAAGGTAAAGTAGTTACTGTTCTTGGCATTTTCCTTCTTGGTGTGTGATCACTGTTCCTGAATCTTTCTCAAACAACCATCATCACCTCGGTCACTCGTCTACTGCACCTCCATCACCCTTCCACCCACCCACACCACTCCTTCACCTCTTTGGAATTCGGAACGGGAAGCGTGACTTTTTCCTGGTTCCTCCCGTCTGTCCGGTCAAGGCTCCTTGCTGGCTACAACCGCCGTCACCGTCTGCGCACACCGGGTATATTCCCTTCCCTGATCCGAGGTAAAGTTGAAAGGAGGAGGAAAGGGCACATACTTGTCCACGCAGGGAAGCACTGGAATTGGCGTACAATATTTCCTGTTTGAGGCCAAGGTTAGCATTTCATCACTGACAAGCTCCAGGCCCCGTGTGGTTTATCACTCATGAATTCATAATGCCCCCTTTTAACCCTCAATCTTTCACCCACACTTTTCCCATCAACTTGATCACCTCACCCCCTCCCACATTTTCCCGCTGAGACATTTCTTTTTCTCCTTCTCGGTTCGGCCATTGTACCTTTTACACCTGGAAAATCTCGCTATAGTTGACCGAGACTGACCGGCTCAAGTACTTTTAGCTCGTCACTGCCACTTCCTCTTGGTTCAAGAAACCGACATACGACCAACTCTGACCTTGTGAACTTGTCCTCAACACAAGGACATGATATCGAAAAAAAGCTTGTACATCCCCAGCTCGTTGCAGTAACATAGCGTTGTCAAACACCAGCGTCTACAAAGCACTCGCTCTCAGCCACCACCCGCCATGGACCACTCAACGCTCCCCATCTCCCCATCGATGACCTACGTCTTCTCTCCGGAACAACACGGTCACCTCGTTCCCTGGATTGCCGCCCTCCATGCCTCATGCATGACCATGGACCGAATGATCGGGCCCTTTCTCCCGCCGCTCGAGAACGGAAAACTGTTGGGGTGGTGGAGGGAGAGGATCGCCGAGTCTAATCGGGGCACCCGGGTCATCGTCCTGCTTTTGCCCGAGACTCCTCCCGGCAGCAAACCGGTGGGCAACGACCTGAGAGGCTTGGCGATGTTGAAGTTGTCCGACACGGAGACGGGCTCGTTTAGGGGGAAGATCGATACTCTGCTCGTAAATCAGAAGTTTAGACGCCAGGGGGGCGCGAAGGCGTTGGTGGACGCGTTGGAGTACGAGGCCGCTAGGAGGGGGAGGACTCTGCTGGTGAGTTATTGTCGATACTCACTTCTCGCTAGCATTTGAACACTTAAACAAGAGGATAAAGAACTGACATGGATCAAAAAAATAGCGCGTAAACACCGAAACAAACTCCGCCGCCGAAGCCGCCTTCAAGAAATTCGGCTACATCGAGTTCGGCCAGGTGCCTCAGTTCAGCAAAGCCGTCGTTTCTCAAGGCAGCCTCAAGAAGAGCGAGACGTTTTTTTACAAGGATTTGCTGTCAATCTCACAACCATCGTCTGGCTCCAACTCCTCTTCCTCCTCCTCTTAGTTTCTGGGGGAAACTAATGAGACCTACAGGATGTGGTGGAAATCCCCACGAGTGAGTGGGCTCTCGCTCACACCAACTCCTGACACGACTTTAGTTCTTCTATGTTGATCTTATCTCTCTCGTCTTTTTACAATGATTTTTTTCGTTTGCTCATGTGCTATTTTATACTTTGGCGATTCTTGTTTTTGTCTTTCTCCCTCACTACGTATGGTTCTGTTATCCAGCATGGGGGCTTGGTTTCGGTCTTGGGTTAAGTTCTGGTTCAGCTTTCGGGTTTGCTTTGATGATCGGTGTTCTAGAGAAAGAGAAAA